GCTGAGAAGGAGAAAATAAGCCAGGGTTGGGATTCGAAATAGGACAGGGAGGAGCAAATCACTCATTTTGGTCATGGGCAAAATGCAGACTCATTAGGGGAAGGAAAAAAAAGAACATAAGTTCATTACAGGCACTAGCAACAACACTATACAGACAGAGTAGGACATTGAGAAGCATTACCACATATTGAAAAACCTTCCTACACCCCTCCCTTCTTCCCAGGCTCAGCTCTGCTTCAGATATCTCTACCTCTTCCCCCTAGCAGCGCAGGGGGCAGGGAATGGGGGGTGCAGTCAGTGCTGCCACTTCTTCCATCTTTGGGTGGGGTGAAACTTCCCGAACTTTTTCCCCTGCTCCGGTGTGGTCCCCCTCTCACAGGAGACAGTCCTCCACAAGCTTTTTCTGACATGAGTCCCTCCCACATGCTGCAGCATTCCCCTAGCTGTCCCAGTGTGGGTCAGCAACTTTCTCCAACTGGAGTCCCTCCCATGGGCTGCAGCCCTTCCCGAGCTGCTCTGGCATGGGACACCCCTGCATGCTGCAATCCTCCCAGCGCTGAACTACAACAGCTGGAGCTGCTTCTTCCCACAGAATCCTGGCCTCCTTTCAGCATAGACATCTTAGATGTACATGCAAGGCCCCTCATCAGCAATAAATCAGTGTCTGCTCCACCACAGACCTCCATGGGTGGCAGGGGGGGGTCGCCCTGCCGTCTCACCACAGGATACAGGGGGGTCTCTGCTCCGGCACACCTCCCCCCTCCTTTCTTCCTCCGTTCCTCCACTGACTTTGGTGTTCACGCAGCTGCAGCAACTCCTCCTCACAAGTCCGACTCCTCCTCACCAGGTCCCTTCTTAAATATCTTATTGCAGAGGTGCAGCTGATTGGCTCAGTTTTCGTGCAGAGGTGGGGACGACTTGGGGCTAGGGGAGCTTCAAGAAGCTTATCATAGGAGGCACCGCTGTAGCCCCCTATCCTGCTGCCAAAAAAAATCCACGACTCACTGAAACCCAGGACAGTGTGGAAACTCAAACGTGCAGTTTCCAAACACACCCCTGAGGTTTTGAACTGAAGCTTGTGAGGCACAAATGCTCCATACATGTGTAGGATCCACATAAACAGATAATCAAAACTCATATAGTGCATTTTACTAGCTATGCTTTTTATATTATTGTGAATATGTTCACTTTCTTTATTTCTAGGTGACAGAATTTTTTAATGCCTTCCTTTTAAAGCCGTTTAACACCTGTAAGTCATGGGCAATGGCATAATATCTTTGACTTTGTAACAGATTTAGTCTTTCTGACTCTGTATTTTCACTGCTAGGGAAGTCAACAGCTGAAGTGCTCTACTTTTGAAACTGAAACCTCAGTCTAACTCTTGTTAAGAAATTGTATGAGTTTTTAGGGAAGGCTTTGAGTCTTTTAGTTTATTAAAAGATTACAAATAAAATATATATATATATATGGGGATGACTTCTAAAGTGAATGTTAATTACATGCTTTTTAGAAAAAGTCATTCCATTCCTATTTGTAAACAATTTTTTTAATATCTAGATTTCAGGGAAATTAGGTAATTAAGATCCCTGTCCAGAAATAAGCCTCCCTTCTGGAGGTTCCAATAACTGTTACAAAGGAACAGACACCACAATATATATTTCTGCATGTTTTAGGAGATTGATAGAGGACCTGCATGACCATCATTGACACAGATAACAGAGTAAAAGAACATTGCCCAAACAATACAGATCTTTCACTGGGATCCCCAGGGGAGATTTTCATGGAAGCATTCACTGAACAGAGTATAGAGACTGGTGAATTTGAAATCAGTGATTTGTTGAGATCCATCAGTGATCCTGAGAGTCTTAAAATTCTAAACCTATTGCCTGACAAGTTAGAGTGTCAGGGTCGTGCTTTTTCCATTGATCCATCAGCAGATGAGAGCAGTGGTGCCTACCTTGTGACAATTTTGAATGCCTTGTCTGTAGTACAGTCTGTCACTCCTGCGGTCCCAAATAAGAGACGTCTTAACATCAAGAAAAAGCAGTTAAATTCAGAACACAGTATCCCCCAGTTAGATGGTGACTGTACACAAATAACAAACATGATTGAGCCTCAGCTTGCTGCATTTCAGGTGGAAGAAATAAAAGCCTTAGAAGGATCTAACTTGCAGAGGACAGCAAATGAGCAAGTATATACACAGTTTCATTAATATGTGAAAATTTATATTTATCATAAAATACTTTATAGAATAGCCAAATTACTTGGAGATGTGTATCTTAACAAAGAATAAACTGGCATCAGTAATTTACATGTTTAATACATGTCAGTTGGTTTTGTTTTAGAAGTCCAATAGTGTTTTTCTGTTTTGATATATCCATGTTACGAAAATGTCCGAGCTTGCTGGGATGGGAAATCCTAGTAAAGTTAATTAAGTGGCTGATGTGGAAATCTAGAATCATTGGAGTTTCAAAACCTCCTGGTCCCCCTGTATATCTTCTATGTCTCTTGTTCTCTCCAAGGAAATTTCCAAAACGCTATTCTGTTATTTCATTGTAGCACGCTGGCATGTACCATCCAGTTCCAACTCTAGGTTACTACCCCATCTGGTTCTATTTTTCCTCCAGACTACGGTATGCTGTTTTCTGCTGTCGTAGTTCTCACTGGTGTAGCATACAAATGCTTTCCAAGTATGACAAAAGAAATGATAGCTATGTCTTTTCTGTAGACTAGAAGGACAGGGATTTCTTACATGTGTATTTATTTTGCTATGTGAGACTTACTGAAAAAACTGAAGGATGGTTTTATGTTCATGTCTTCACCTGAAGAAGACAGTATGTATGGATACAACGTGTGAGCCATCTTTCTGTTTTCTTCCCTTACCCCATGCTGTTCTCTCTACAGTGTTACATCCTGTGCTGTAAAGGTGATCTGGAATAGGTCATTTGGATTCAACAACATGAATGCAAAAATCTGGAGAGGAACATGAAGGGAGAGCAGTACTATAGTCTCTTCCTGTTTAGGGAAAGAGAAGATAGGAGATGTATGTTTATGCTATAGAGTGTAGTAGACAGCCCTTGTAAACTTGGAAGCAGATGCTCAGCTCTATGTTGTCTTTGAATAATCTGGAACTGCAAATCAATGATCAACAACATATAACTAGCTATTTAGGTGGTTTTACTTTGCTTCCTCACAATGGTATAAAGGATACAAAGACTGTGAGCTAATTCTCTCTTTTGCTGGTGGTGTTAATGGTACATAATAAAATGTGCCACAAAGGTAGCTAATTTCAAGGTGCTGAAAGGTCTCTAGGCTAATTCTCTCAGAACCATAAAAACTTACAAAGCACTTTCAGTAAAGCGTTGATTTCTGAAATTTGTAGTACAACTGTGTGAAACCTAATGTATAGATTTACTCAGTATTGCAGTTAAGATTGTGAAACAGGGTCCTCTGGGGATGAGGATTTATAACCTTTTGTCAATTAATTGAATTTAGCATTTTTTTGTGCCTCTATCTTTTGTTCGTGAAAGCGGAAAGTAGGAAGACAATTTAATGAGGAAAAAAATCCCAGTTAATTTTTTAGTAACTGGTTGCATTCTAACAGTATATTGTTCACCTCGGCCTTTTCTCGTCCCTGTTGTGGTGAAACAAGTACCCAAAAGAGGATAGCCTGTGATATCCTGTAGATGCAATCAGGATGCTGGATTGCCCATTTATTTTAATATATGTTCCCTTACAAAGCAAGAGGCTTTTTCTTCTGTTTGAAATATTTTCTCCTTCCTCTCTAACCTTCCTTGCATAGCAGATGTGATGCCATGGAAAGTACTGCATTGACAGTTTTGTAAGTGGAAATACTTGGCTTTCCCCTACTGCCTTGTTAACATGCATCATATCTTGACCTGGAATGACCACTTCTGGGAATGCAATTTGCCTCTTCAGTAGCCTCTCTACTGAATATATAAATTTAAAAAAATAATCAGTGAATCCTCCATTTACATCTGTGTCCCAAGAAAGGACTAACAAGTTCTCCCACATCTCTGTGGAAGAATTTGTATGTATATATGCTGAGGGTGCGTCCTAAGAGCTTTCAGCATTACTCAAGTGTGTAGTAAGATAGTGACTACCCAGGTTTCAGGAACTTGGGTGATACACAGCAGCAGGTCATACTCACTCGACTAAAACAGTGAATAAACTCCAGTCACTCAAATTAACTGCCATGTGATGACATATCTTTAGGGTGGGATTTCTCTCCCTTACTGTTAGAGATAAGCCTCTGGTATACACCAGTCATTTAGGTACCCCTTTGCACAACTTAGGACAAAGTGAACCACCATCATCTCTGAAAGTAGCTCTTCCTTTTCGCCAGTGGTAGGGGTAATGAGGATGCCTGGTGTCATACAGATGCTTGATTTTTAGAAGGCTGAAGGTAGGTGAAGTGAATCTCTTCCATCATGGCTGTAGCTCAGGGGTGGTACATCTTTTGAAATATCTTCTCAGCTGGGAGTTACCAGACCTCTGGTGAAACATGGTTCTTGATCTTTTGCACATTTCTGGGCTGTGCAAGAGTGAGATAAAGTGGACTGGCTTAAGATGTCTTAAACATCAGTTTATTTTTTAGGACAGGAATGCATGTCCATAGGAAACTGAAACGAATCTGTTAAGTCATTTCATATGTCCAGCCAAACGATTTTCAGATAGTAACAACTTCTGTTCTCTGTCAGCCAGCCTAGATTTATTATTTAAGTTGTGATTCTGAGTATCCTAATTCCCATGGCTCATTCTGCCAGGGTCACATGCTGTGGCATACTACTTTAGGAGTGCCTCTGCTATGGCAGCCTCTGTCTCTCATACCTGTAGAATTCTAGTTATTCACTTAACCCTTCCATTGTCTGTGAGCACATGTATAATTGATAAAACAATGTTCTCAAAGCTCTTATACACAGCCCTTGTTTTAACTGCATGCTTACCAATTGCTTGTGATACTTCTTTTTTTGTCACAGCCTGTGGGTGATCAGCAGAGAGAGAAAGTAGTTTCAGATTACTGGGGTGCCACTCCTAGTGAAAAGCAAACCGGTGAGGGAAGTCCACATTCAGTGGAGGCTGCAGCATGTGCATATACAGCCCAAACAACATCAAGTAAAGAGATGCAGTTAAGGGAGACCTCCTCAAGAAGTTACAGAAATCATGTTTCCAGTCATCACCAAATACTAGAAGACACTCAGCAGAGGATGTCTTACAGTGACAGTACAACAAGAAACAAAGCTAAGGATTTTGAGTATGACAAAATCATGCATAATATTTGTAAATTCTTTTTTTAAATTACTGTAATAAATATAATGCATACAGAGTACTCATGTGAATTACTTTAAATGATTGAAAGGTAAAGGTTTTACCTTTATTTAAAGATCTGAAAGTTAGTTTCTCTCCTGATTTGCTCTTTATGCAGTACTACCTAAGCTAGCCTATATGTTTGCATGCTATTACAGCCTTCCTTTTAAAATCAAATATATTCAAATTCCTAGCTCTACTATAAACATCAATTTATATAGAGAATATTTTTGTTGATTCTAAGCAAATCTCTTGTCAGTGAAATTCAGACATCTACTTCTAAAGACAAGCAGGATCTAGAAATCAACAGATGCCAAAAATTAATTCTGAGTGAGGATGGAAAACCTGAGCAGAGAAGAAGGAGCAAGAGAATCGAAAACAGACAGAGTAAGATATTCTCTGATGTTTACCATAAATACTATATTTTTATTTGAACAACTATACTGAGTCAAATATAATTCATAACCTTTCCAATATAATGGCATAGATTTCTTTTTAAAAAGTGTTATAAACATTAATTTTAAAAATAAAAGTTATTGATAATTTCTCTCACTTGTTTAAACCTACATAGCAATTGACTTGTTTACATATGCTCCTTCAAAATCATGAGAGTTTTTTCAGGATACAATTTTTATCATAGTGTTATATATGAAAAAATTATGGTGCATTCTGAAAAGCAGAAGAAAAAATGTTTTTATGCAGAGTGAAAATGTAGATCCTGATATACATTTATGTATACTTCCATAATCTAGTATTCTGTGTGCAACATCATTCTGAAGGCAGTGCCATCCCCAAGAACTGACCTGTACAAACCAGCTTATACTATTGTGAATGCCTGCTGTTGTTATTCTGTCTATTTTAAATATAGGATTGTAGGGCCTTCATCATCACGGTCATGGAGCATTCTTTGAAGTATTTTTCCTTGTATGTGTTTTGTCAGAGAGAAAGATTGCTATTTTTCATTCTTTGAAGATGCATGCAGAGAAATTCTTTGCCTTGCAGAGGAAGCATGTAGGAGAATATAGAATTTCTTCACTTAAGTGGTCACTCCAACACCTTTAAGATTGGAGTCTTACAAAGTGTTTTTTTTCGTTTAAGCCTGCTCAGTCTGGATTTATCTGTGCACCTACAATCATTTAAATGCCTTACAAAGTTTGGAAGTGTTTGAACTGTAAGAGCTGCATTATAGATCTTATAAACAAACCTGTTTTACAGGGTTTTAATTCTCAGTGGAAGCACCATATTTACGAGATTTAAAGTTGTATGACTAACTGCTCATCTATTTCATATTGACTTACTATCTTTCAGTAATTAAACAAGGTTGTTTCTTGGCATCATTTCTGCAGAAAGAGTTACACTGCCTATAGAGGTAGCTTTGTATTAATCCAATCTAGCAAGTTTACCTCTCTTTTGCATCAGACCTAGCAATCAAGAGTCTGTGAGTCATCTTAGTTTGGTAATTCACTGAAAAAACAGTCCAATGAAAAGTTTCGGTTTTGATCAGCAAGCATCAGTTGTTTTGCACAAGGTCAGGCACAAGGAAAGCACCAGGGAAGGCAAGGTAGAAGTGATGGGAAATAGGTCCTCTTGAAGTAACAATTTAAATTGGGTTAAGCGTAACATAAACCTGTGCCTTTTCCTGTGTATGTCTGTGAGGTTTAATCCCTCCTGAACTGCTTGGCTAGTTTAGACCAGCTTTGACTGAGGACTGCAGTATCTTAAATGATTAAGGTCTTGCAAGGCTGGACAGATAGAGGAGAGGGACTGTCTCAGTTAAGACAGTTAGTTGAGGGAAGGTCCTGTGTAAACCCTTACCTATTAGATTCTAAAAATCTACATGGGGTCAGAAACTTAAGAAGGTTGGGAATTAGTCTGAGCTTGCAGTATATCACCATGTACAAAACAGCAGAGAACAGCAGAGGCATCAGTCTTTGTGTTACAGCTCTAGGAGAACTATGTGTTTTAAGGTGATACTTAAAACGTCTGTTTCTGAAACCCGGGTGGAGCTTTAGAGCCAGTGAGCCACAGCTGCTACAGTCTGTGAAGAGGAGCAGTGTATATAGCCTGCTGCCCCAAGGGTTTTCATTAGTAGATCAGTTAATCTAGGCCATGCATTGTGCTTTCCTTCAGGTCATCCTCCTGTCCCTTCCTTCTTCCCTTCTTTCTTCCCTCCCTGGTTTTCAGGAGAGGCAGGAGCTGGGATGCTCTTCCCCATAGTATGAAGGGATCAGGATTGGCACTGCTGGTGAAATACAGAACAGCTCATCTATGTATTGAAAATAATATCACTCAAGATGGAATGAGTGCATAATGGGAGATAGCATTTGTTTTGTAAAATACTAAACTAAAATTTTAAAATAGTATCTTTTACATTTTATTTTTTACTTTTCAGCCTTGTGTTCCTAAGCAACTGTTCACCTTACATGCATAGCAGAAATGGCTGAGCTGGTTGTGAAGTAATGGGGAAAAGTAATCTGAGGGAGCTAATCTCAATCACTATCCTAGTGTAAATACTCCTTGCTTACAAAGTGGAGGTTTTAAAACACAAATGAGTACAAAAGAACTGCTGATAAATTTTACTTTTAAAAAAATAAAAATTATTGAATAACTGACTAGCTATTGAAATGCTCATCTTGTAATGAATTGTAACCTGGCATAGCAGTTTTATCATCAAGTGGGAAACAATGCACTTTGCAAAAATGTCATTAAACAGGAAAAAGTCTAAACTCAACATACTTTTAAAAAGTCTTATTCCTGTCTGTTGGATTTCAGTTGGAGTTTTGTTATGGAATTCACTATAGTGTCTTTTATTGAATGGTACTATTATTATTTAATCGGTAATGGGTTTTTTGAGATACTGATTTCTACTAGATTAAATGAGTGCTTTTTCTCCAGGAAGACTGTTTATTTACTGTAATGCAAAGTGAAGCAAAAATAATAGAGGAAAGATATTCTTCTGTTCAACAGATCTTTTACGTTATTTTTCAGGACAAGAACCCTTTAGTAGGAATTCTGTAAATCCTGTTTGCCACATTTCACTTTCACTAATCAATAGGAGGAATATTTATGGTGAGACCTTACTGCATAAAGCTGTTGTTCATCAGGATGTAAACCTTGTACGTAACATAATAAAAGCCGGTGGAAATGTAAATGTTCAGGATTATTCTGGTAAGTTGCAATTGTATTAAAATGCTATTTTCAAAACAAGTATCTACCTATAACTAATAAAAATGCATATTACAAGTTTGTGCAGTGGACAAGACTGTAGGTTTATGACTAGTCAGTAGATTATTAAATTTTTATTGTTTTAACTTGATACTTGTTCATGAGAAAATATATAGACCTATGTACAAAAGTATATTAAAAAAGAAAATTTTGCAGAAAAAGCACTTAAAAATTACTAAGTGATGCAATTAAGTTTACTTAGCCTTAATACAACAATCCTGTGCTTGCTTATCACGAACAGTCCCTTGATTAAATAATGTAATGGATCTTAAAGATTGGTTTTGGTCCATTTTAGTGACCAGCTTGACATGCCAAGGTTTAGATTTTCCAGTTTAATTTTTCAGGGACTCTGATTTTGCCTCTTGAATCTTAAAGGAAGTTGTAGCTTCATAATTTAGCAATGCTTTTGTCTTGTAAAGTTGTGAGTACTTAATATTTTGCATTTTTACTTCATCTTGGGCACCAAAAACGAAGAATGACAAATAGTGACCATTTGTGAATGTTTTGATTGAAGCAATCCACCTTACCCAGCTTCATGTGTGATACTCTGTGTCAAAAACATTGCCACACCCAAAAGTATCAATTGGTTGTTTCAAAAGTAAGACTCTTGTTCTTTATTTTGCAGTTCCCTGTCTTATCCATTAGGCTCTGATAAACTTCCATAACAAAAGAGAAAATGGTTTCACAGACAGCTGACTCATTTGGTAGAAAACTTGGATTCATTCTTAGAGTGTTTCCATCCTGTGCAGTGGCAAGGATTTCACAGCTGTTCCGTGGGAACAAAAAAAAAGTGTTCTGCAGTTAAAGACTATTGCATAATGTAGGCGTGTAACAGACCAAAAATAAAGTAGAAGTTCTCTGTCTTCTGCAATGTATTGAGAGATAGATGGGGTAAGCAGAAAATTTCAGACTTTTATAGCATAGGACTCTGGTGTTTGAGCTAACAGAGTGACTCATAATGTGCTAAAGGTAGATCAGAAAATTATTTGTTGGTGGGTTTCAAAGCCACCTGCTGACAACAGAGTGACATTGATAGTGTGCATTCAGCTGCAGCCTCTGTGGGCAAGTGTACTAAAGTGCACTGGTTCCAGTTTTTGGCCTCACAGCTGCTTCCTTTTTCTGCTTTTTCACGTTTTGCTGGGCCTTTGTTTCTTCATCCCCCAGACTCCGGCTGCTATTTTTTGGTGCAAAAAGAGCACAATTGCACAAAATATGCTTTAATTGAAGTCCTTGAAGAGATGAGAGGATGACCTGACCCTATTTCTTTCTTTTTCAGGGAGGAAGGTGTAATCAGAAAGAAATAGAGTTGCCATTTTGAAATGCTCTTTCATCTTACTTTGTTTGGGAATCATTGTGCTAATTATTATATTCTGCCTCTGTGCCTTTTCTCTTCCTTTAAAGCCTTCCACCAGTAATTATCCATATTTTAGTGTCGTGGTCTGAGCCTGGTCAGCAGCCAGACACCATGTAGCCACTCACTCCCCCTTCTCTAACGGCAACAAGAACGGACAAATGAGCCAGGCTTGGGATTCGAGATAGGACTGGGAGGGGCAGATCACCCATTAGGGTCATGAGCAAAAGGCAGACTCATTAGGGGAATTAAAAAAGAACATACATTTATTACAGACACTAACAACATGTAACAGAGTAGGACAGTGAGAAGCATTGCCACATCCTGAGAACACCTTCCCCCCACCCCTCCCTTCTTCCCGGGCTCAGCTCTGCTCCCGATATCTCTACCTCCTCCCCCAGTGGCGCAGGGGCAGGGAATGGGGGGTGCAGTCAGTGTTGCCTCTTCTTCCATCTTCAGTGGGGGGAGCTTCTGGAACTTCTTCCCCTGCTCCATCATGGTCCCCCTCCCACAGGAGACAGTTCTCCACAAACTTTCTCCAACGTGAGTCCCTCCCATGGGCCGCAGCATTCCCCACACTGCTCTGTTGTGGGTCACCAACTTTCTCCAACTGGATTCCCTCCCACGGCTGCAGCCCTATCTGAGCTGCTCCAGCATGGAACACCCCTGCATGCTGCAATCCTCCCAGTGCTGAAATACAACAGCAGGGTCTACCTTTTCTCAGAAAATCCCAGCCTTTTTCGGGCACAGCACCTTGATCAGCCATATGAAATAAAACACAGGCCGTAAATCAGTCTCTGCTCCACCGTAGACCTCCATGGGTGGCAGGGGGGGCCGCCCTGCCATATCACCACAGGATACAGGAGGGTCTCTGCTCCAGCACACCTCCCCCCTCCTTTCTTCCTCCGTTCCTCCACTGACCTTGGTGTTCACGCAGGTGCCGCAACTCCTCCTCACAAGTCCGACTCCTCCTCACCAGGTCCCTTCTTAAATATCTTATTGCAGAGGTGCAGCTGATTGGCTCAGTTTTCGTGCAGAGGTGGGGACGACTTGGGGCTAGGGGAGCTTCAAGAAGCTACTCATACGAGCCACCCCTATAGCCCCCGCCCCTGCTACCAATAAACCCCACCACTCACTCAAACCCAGGACACTTAGTCTAGTATTTCTCCTTATTCCTGTACTACAGTACTCCGCTTCAGTACCTTACTGAGTTCTTGGATTCTTTTGCATTTTTTTTTCTCATTTTATTTCCTGGACATCAGCGCATGGGGTATGGATAGCATAGTAGGGATATCCTCTGTGCTTTCAGCTTGAGTCTTGATTCATAGTGCCTTGAGGGAGCTGAAAAACAGTTGAAATGAAACTTGTGTTTCTCCTTGGTCTGGAGCATGCCCAGTGTCCTTGGAGAATTATGTTGCTAAACTCTAACGATTGTCAATTGAACATGTTGCAGGTTCAATTTTTCAGGGACTTATTAGTATATCAGCTAGAGGATGTTTTTTACTGCAGGAGAAGTAGGTGACTAAGTGAACCTTTTTTATCCTCTCTTTAGCAGATTTCAAGCTTTTGCTTCAGAATATGGAGTTACTAGAATTTCTTAATGAAATACGCTGCATAAAATGCAAGTAAAATATTTTACAGGTGCTACTGTTAAAAAACATTCATCTTGAAGCACTGTCAACACCAGACAATGTAGTTAAAACTTAGTTGGATTTCAGGCATTGGGAGTAAAGCCTAATAGCACAAAATTTTTGGACAACCTGTTGCAACATCCTGTGCCCATAATAAACACAATTCTCTACAAGTATACACTATTCTGGGATGTGTGGTGTATAAGAGAGCGTCAAGAGTTTCTCATTCCAATGAAATTAAGATAATTTTGCTTAATGGAAGTAGTACAGTTTCAGTAAGAGCAGTCTCATATTTAATATGTGAATTAGGTCCAGACAACCTTCTGAGGATGGAAGATAGTTGAAGAGTAAGGCTGTCCAGCAAGGTCTTCTGGAGGGCATGCTGATTTGAGAGCTGGAAGATAGGAAATGGAAGATCCTCTCTCTTTTTCCCTTACATTTCTCACCATACAAAAAACTGTCACATAATGCATCTTTAAAGAGCTAATATAAGGCTATGCTAACCCCAGTTCAAAGACTTACATTCCATCTTCTACTTTTCCTCAACACCTCCTTCATGGAGCATAATTGTTCTGTGGGTAATGAAGCTTGTATCTTGGTTTACTCTGTATAGCTGGGAATGAATATAGAATTTCAGTAAGGTTTTTTCATTGCTTGCTTTGGACACTCAAACCATTCTTGAATAGTCTTAAAAAACATTTTTATTTGGCAAAAAAGACTCCAGGTCTTTATTTTGTCTCTTCTTTCTTGCTTACCCTCTTCAGCATAGCTATGTAAATAAAAGAGTGCCATGAAAATTGATATTGTTCTTAAAATAGTACATATGTTTTATTTGGGGATAAATTACTACAATGTGGGTGGAATCATTTTTATTCTCATCTTTCATAACAGAACTATCAAATCTAAAACTAATGTTGTTACAGCAGCACCCGGTTCCTCAATCAGTGCAAATTTTGACAAAAGAATGAAATCTCCTAATCCTTGTGACTTTTTCATAAGTATTTCTTCATACAACTTACTGTAAAATGCGTCAGTTTTTACCTTTTCAGTATACTCTCTGAAATATTTATCAAACAGACAACCTAAAACTGACTTATTTAACCCAAATGTGAAATACATGGTTTTCGTTTTTGTAGGCTGGACTGCACTACATAAAGCAAGTGTGGAAGGCTTTTATGGGATAGCAAATGAACTTTTGAAAGCAGGAGCTGATGTTAATGCTAGAGGAAATGAACAAATAACACCATTGCAAGAAGCAGTTGAAGAAGGCCACTATAAGGTATATTCCAAATTGAACACAAATTATGGTTTATGAATAGAAATTATTGTTGTTGGGTCTAGCAGGTCACAAAATCTTTTTACATGTGTCTGGTATTTTCAGATTATGGGTAAATTCAGGAGCTTGCAAGTAATTTCTGCCCAATTTCTATTCAAACCATTCCATGCCTTACAAGATTTGTCCAAAAGCAGAAATAAATTATTTTACTAACGGCTTAGGATAGTGACTGAAGTACTGAGGAATAGGTTGCTACTGTTTAATACTACTTGTTTCACTTATTTTATAATCACTTTACAGAATAATTCATGGCCTGAACAGTCTTCTGGAGTTTTAATAACTTTGTTTCATGATTTAGTAAACATGCATGAATGATATGGAGCCACACCCATGCACAGACATTTTTTGTGTATTAACACATAGCACGGAGAGTTATAGAGACATAGCTTTATATTTTGTACGGTCTTAAACAGAAAGTCAACTGAATAGTCAAATATGAATTAATTATAAGTTTTGTTGCCAGATACTGTGGTTTCATAAGACTCTGTCTGAATTGTGGATCCTCTTTCAATCTGGCAGTGGTTGCCTCTGGCTGTCTGTTTGTGCATGTTTCTAGCATGGCCCGGACTTATGTGGGAGTTCTGTATGTCCCTTTTAGCTGCTTCCTGTTTCTTTCTCTAGAAGTGCGCATATGCTGCCTAATATTTATTGAATTCCAAGATTTTAGAACTTTTCTTGTGGGGTGTAATAAGTTTTATCCCTAAACATTTGCTCTCTTTCTGTTTCACAACTGAGAGAAGACTTAATCTGCTTCTCCCTAAGTCTCCTTGGAGCAAAGAGGAAGGGTGGACTTTTTGGTTAATAATTTTCTCTGAGACTTGAGATCCCCAAGGTTGGTTTTCAGCTTGTGGATAACAGACTTGCAAGTTCATGAAATCTTTCTAAGTTCTGTGAAAGTACCTAAGACACCATGTCCATGGTTATGCATGAAGGACTGCATCTCCACAAGTAATATTTAGGGGTCAGCAACTTGAATGTTATTGCAAGAACACTGATCTCAACTAGGTCACTTGGGGCACACCAACACTGTTCAACACAGAGCTGTGTTCAAGTTATGTGAGCTGGTACACCCACAGGGAATGGTACTACATGGTGGCCCTGTGTTTATGCAGGAGCAATATAGTTCTATCTCTGCAGTGGTCTGTCAGACTTTATTTGTGTTGCTTCTGACTACCAATAAAATAGTGATAGTGATTCAGTAATATGACTTTTGGTAACATAGTATTTGGAGCTGTTTCTTTCAAAGCTGCTCTGTGTGATGATGTTATTGTAGATTGGAAACACCTTTTGATTGCTTTATCCCTTTCTGCACCTGCAATTTGGCAGAATTAATTTCTTATTTCAGAAAAAATGATAAGCATATGAAAGACTTTCTAATAGTACAGTTAAGGGGAGAGTATGATGTGTAGCTAAGGATCTCATTAAGGAAGAAGAGTTCTCAACATTACTCACTGAAACAAATCCATAGATTTGGGACAACTTGTGAAAGCCAAGAGGGTTTTTGCTGTGAATTGAACTGTTTTTTATTTGCTCTGTTGTTAGGTGAATGTATGAACTGAGAAAACTTCACTAGCAATTTTCTGAGTAGCAATCTGTTTAGAAGTATTGAGAGACTTTAAACACATGGGTGAAGGATGTGAGTCAAGCTCAGTCTGAAATGATAACCTGATGAGAGAAAGGCAGAGGTACAAGTAAAACCACACTAGTGCTGGAATAAGATTGCAGGGTTACACACAGAAAGGAAGTAATCAGATTGTAAATTTCACATGTCTTGAAGAAGCATTCTGCAGAAGTAGATGGAATATTTTGCTGAAGTGATAATTTATTGAATAATGACAGAATCAGACTTTGTATTTGTATAGAAATCATAATGTTGGTAGGCCCATCTGAGTGGGTTTCATTTGACCAGATGGATGTTGTACATCTGAAATAGCTGTCAAAGCTATTTAGAATATCAATTTATTTTCTCCTAAAGTAGATATTCTAAATAGATAAGCTGACTCATACCCTAAACTCACCTCTTATTTTCCACCAATTAAGAGCTGGGGAGGGTTGGGGGGTTGGAATGAATCCTACCCTATATTTTGGGAGACCTTGGCTTAATGGCATCAGATTGAATAACTGAAATGAATTTCTAAAAATTAAAATAATAAGACTATAGGATAATGATGCATCTAGGGGAATGTTTGAAGTATATTAACTAGAATAGAGAGGGATTATTTGTCGTAGGGCTTAGAGTTGGTTTAGTTCTTCACGTTGCCGAGTACAAGAAAGAGAAGCCTCTATAAAGAAGGAATTTGGAAAATACTGTCATAAATGAAACAATCTGAAAAACTTATTTTTCTAGGTGGCAGAGTTATTACTTTGGTATGGAGCTGATCCCTTATTAAAAAATAAGATGGGAAGGTGTGCATTAGAAGAAGTTTCTGACTCGTCTATGAGGAAACTGCTTAAAAGCTATGTAGAAAAATTCAGAAGACATTCAGTGTCAGGTAGGAGAGAATTATCGTGACATACCAGCACCACTCAATGGAGAAATTCAGAACACCTGTTTCACTCTATTTCCTTAATTACTGCTAGTAATTCCATGGGCTTCACTTTCTGATGCCTGAGTACAGGTGAGCACTCTTTACTCATCACAGTTGCTGCACATAGACAAAGTATATAAAGGATAATGATGTCCAGCTTTTTCTTTGGCTGGAGCTACCTTCAAATTTGAAATGAAGATGTGAAGTACAATAATTGTTGCCTATTTAAATGTAAGATGAGGCATGGTTGGACTTGCTGATCGTTGAGGTATGGTTTAGAGCTAGGGATGAAATTTGCTTCTAAACTGGCATAGAGGCTCAATTTTGAAGGATACATAAGATGAAAAGCAGAGGATCTAGGATTAGATCTACATCTTAGTGATTGCCAAGACTTAACTGCATATTCTTAACTGCTAGTGTTAGGGGTGGGCTGGGGTAATATTACTGTAGGAAATCGCTAATGAGTTTGCAAGGGGTTGGTAGGTGAATATTTTGACTAAGGCAGGTGTTGGATCTTGTAGAGTCTTAGGAACTAAGTTAAGAAGAAGGTTGAGAAGAGGCTGCTTGATCAGGGCCAGGTACAAAGAAGTGCCACAAGAAAAGTCTTCATTAGAGTTAGAATCTGGACTTTTGGACATGACTGGGCCAGTGTGGGCTATGGCATGTTTAAGTCTGGAAGGAGTCCACAGCTTTTGACTATTATCCATTATTGCTCTTCCATGTGAGTGGTAATGAAGCCGCAACATGTAGTACAATGGCAATCTAAAGAGTCTTCAGGGCCTTGGGACAGTTGGTAAGGGAATCTGGCACACAGGTAATATTTTCCTCTGTCCTTCCAGTTGCAGGCAGCAACATTGGAAGAAATAGACAGACCCAGTCTATTAATACATGGCTCCGTGACTGGTGTCACCACCAGAGTTTTATGTTTTTCAATAATAGGATGGTCTACACAGCATCAGGCCTGTTGGTGTCTGATGGGATTCACCTTTCTCAAAGCGGGAAGAGGGTCATTGCTCAGAAGCTAGCGGGGCTCATTGACAGAACTTTAAACTAGACTCGAAGGAGGAGGTGGATAATAGCAGACTTGCCTGTGACAACCTGTGGGACAACACATCAAAGTTAGAGGGGTGGAGTGGTAGCAAGGGCCTGTGCTGGGTTGGTGTGCATGGCAGGGGCTTTTGGTGGGAGGTGATGGTTCTGCAGCAGTGGCCCTCTGTAAAAAGCTTCTCAGAGATCCCTCAGCTCCAAGTTGGACCTGCCTGTGGCCAAGGCCAAGCCAATTAGTGATGGTGGCTGCACCTCTGTGATAACATATTTGAGAAGGGGAACCTGGGAGGAGGAGTTGGAGTTGTGAGGACAGCTATGTGAACGCTGAAGTCAGTGGAAGAAAGGAGGAGGAAGAAGTGGAGAGGTGTGCTGGAGCAGAGACCGCCATGCAGCTCATGGTGAGAGGACAGGCTGTGCCCTTGCTGCCCATGGAAGTCCACAGTGAAACAGAGACCCACTAGCATCCCGTGGAGGACCCCGTGCTTGAGCAGATGATTTCACCCAAAGGCGGCCAGGACTGAGGGAAGAAGCCCCTGCTGTTGTAGTTCAGCATTGAGAGGATTGCAGCACACAGGAGGGACCCACACTGGAGCATCTTGGGAAGAGTGCATCCCATAGGAAGGACTCACGTCAGAGAAAGTTCGTGGAGGACTATCTCCTGTAAGAGGGACCCCACAGTGGAGCAGGGGAAGAATGTGAGGAGTCCTCCCCCTGAGGAAGAAGGAGCGGTGGGACTGAGCATAACCCTATTCCCTGACCTGCAGGGGAGGAGGTAGAGAAATCAGGAGCAAAGCTGAGCTTGGGAAGAAGAGAGGGGTGGGGGTAAGGTGTTTTTAAGATGTGGTAATGCTTCTCACTGTCCCACGCTGTCTCTTAGGTGATGTTGTTAGAGTTTGAATTGAACTGATGTTCTTTTTTCCTTCCCCTAATGAGTCTGTCTTTTGCTCATGACCGTAATGGCTGAGTCATCCCTCTCTGTCCTTATCTTGGTTCCCAAGCCTTTTGCTTTATTTGCTCTTTCCCATTCTTGAGGGGGGAAGGAGTGAGCAAGTATCTGCATGGTGCTCAGGTGCCTTCTGGGCTCAAACCATGACAGGGCCCTCAGCCGATTGCTGTGATACATGCTGGGTACACCGAGGCACACTTGAAGTCTTGTGGAGATGAGCCAGGGGCTCTTGTGGTAACAAGAGCCAACAGGGAAACACCAGGGAAATACCTCAAAAGAATTAAGTTGTGCTCCTCTGAAAAGGTGACATGGCCAACAGCCCAGCTGAAGTGCACCCAGGGTGGGCAACAAAGGAGGAGCTGGAAGCCACCATGCTGCTAGAAAGCTATGACCTAGTTGCCATGACCGAAACTTGTTGGGACAAATCCTGTGACTGGAATGCAGCTGTCGATGGCTACAGGCTGTTCAGAAGGGACAGGAAAGGAAGGAGGGATGGAAAGGTTGCTCTCTGTGTCGAGAAGTGGATAGATTATGAAGAGATGTCTCTAAAGAATAACCACAAGCAGGTTGAAAGCTTATGGGTAAGAATTAGAGACTGAGGCAACAAAAGAAACCTTGCGGTTGGTGTTTACTGCAGGCTGCCTGGGCAAGGGGAGTGTTTTGAAGAAGGCTTCTTATTCCAGCTACAGGACACATCATGCTCACGGACTCTCATGCTGCTGGGATACTTCTGCAGGAAAGGTAGCACCGCGAACTGTAGGCAATCCAGGAGATTCCTAGAGTGCATTGAGGATAACTTCTTAAGCCAGGTAATAGACAGCCCTACCAGAGGTCATGTAATACTGAACCCGATGATTACCAATGCAAGTGAGTGATCGGTGACATCAAGATTGGAGCCAGCCTGGGCTGCAGTGGTCATGCACTGTTGGAGTTTGTAGTCCCTGAGGGATATGGGTCAGCTGAAGAGTGAAGTCGGGACCCTGAATTTCAGAAAAACAAACTTGCAGCTTTTCAAAGAGTTAGTCAATAGGTGCCCCTGGGAAACTGCCCACAGGCACAAGGGAACAGAACAGAGCTGGCAGATCTTTAAGGATGCTTTCCATAGAGTGCAAGAGCTCTTGATCCCAGGAGTAAGAAACCAGGGAAGGAAGTCAAGAAACTGGTGTGGATGAGTCGATACATGCTGGTCAAACTAAAGGGCAAGAAGGAAATGCACAGGGAGTGGAAGCAGGGACAGGTATCCTGGGAATGGTATAGGGATGCTGCCTGGTTGTGTAGGGATGGGATCAGGAAGGCCAAGGAGTGGCTGGAGCTGAATTTTGCAAGGCACACAAAGAATAATAATAAGGGCTTCTATAGATATGTCAGCCAGAAAAAGGTTAAAGAAAATGTACCCCTCCAATGAACACGACTGGCAAATTCATAACAACAAATGACGAGAATGCTGAGGTACTTAACAACCTTTTTACCTCAGTCTCCACTGGCAACCTGACTTCCCACACCTCTCAGGTGGAAGGACCTCCCACTGTAAGAGATGATCAAGTTCATAACCATAGGAGGAACCTGAACATAGGTGTCTATAGGACCTGATGAGATGCATCTCAGAATCCTGATGGAATTGGCGGATGTAGTTGCCAAGCCACTCTCCATGATATTTGGAAAGTCGTGGCAATCAGGTGGAGTCCCCAGAGACTGGAAAAAGGGAAACATTGCACCTACTTAAAAGGGGTGGAAAGGAGGACCCTGGGAACTACCAGCCTGTCAGCATCATCTCTGTACTCAGGAAGATCACAGAACAGAACCTTCTAGAAACTGTGCTGAGGCACATGGAAGACAGGGAGGTGATTCGAGACAGTCAACCTGGCTTCATCAAGTATATGTCTTGCCTGACCAACCTAGTGGCCTTCTATGTTGGAGTGACTACATCAGTGGACAAGGGAAGAGCTACAGATGTCATCTGTCTGGCCTTTGACACAGTCCTCCACAAGATCCTTCGCTCTTAATTGGAGAGAGATGGATTTGATGGGTGAGCTGTTCCGTGGATGAGGAATTGATTGGTTGGTTGCATCCAGAGGGTAGTGGTGAAGCGCTCAATGTCCAGGTAGAGGTCAGTGAGGAGTGGCGTGCCTCAGGGGTCTGTGTTGGGACCAGTACTGTTTAACATCTTCATCAGTGACATAGACAGTGGGATTGAATACACCCTCAGCACGTTTGCAGAAGACACCAACCTGAGTGATGCAGCTGACAAGCCTGAGGGATGGGATGCCATCCAGAGGGACCTGGAGAAGCTCAAGAAGTGGGGCTGTGTGAACCTTATGGAGTTCAACAAGACCAAGTGCAAGCTCATGCATGTGGGTTGGATCAACCCCCAGTATCCATACAGGTTGCGGGACGAAGGGAGTGAGAGCAGCCCTGCGGAGGAGGACTTGGGAGTACCAATGGATGAGAAGCAGGACGTGAGCCAGCAATGTGTGCTCACAGCCCAGAAAGCCAACTGTATTCTGGGCTGCATCAAAAGAAGTGTGGCCAGCAAGTCAAGGGAGGTGGTTCTGCCCCTCTACTCCACGCTAGTGACACCCCACATGGGGTACTGCATCCAGCTCTGGAGCCCTCAGCACAAGAAAGGCATTGACTTGTTGGAGCAGGTCCAGAGGAGGACCACAAAAATGGTCAGAGGACTGGAACACCTCTCCTGTGAGAACAGGCTGAGACAGGTGGGGTTGTTCAACCTGGTGAAGAGAAAGCTCTGGGGAGACATTACTGTAGCCTTTCAATAGTTAAAAGGGGGGTGGTAAGAAGATGGTGTCAGAGTTTCTGGTAGGGCCTGTTGTGATAGAACAAGGGGTGATGGTTTTAACTAAAAGAGGGTAGATTCAGACTATATGTAAGGAAGAAATTCTTTAGGATGGGGGTGGTGAAACACTGGAGCAGGTTGTCCAGAGAGTTGGTAGATGTCCCATCCCTGGAAGTGTTCAAAGTCTGGCAGGGTGGGGTTTCTGAGCAACTGATCTAGATGAAGGTGTCCCTGCCTGTGTCAGGGGAGTTGGAGTAGATGACCTCTAGAGGTCCCTTCCAACTCAAACTATTCTATGATTTTGTAAGTTTAGAATCAGGGCAGTAGGAGTAGACAGGAGTTAGTGGCTTCAAATGTGAGTAAAACCAAAGTTAATGGTACTGTATGAGACTAGCCTGACAGCAGCTGCTGTATTGGAGAGGTCCCATGATCAGAGGTTAGGGCTGCAGCCACCAAAGGTCATCTAGGTATTCCAAGCCTTACAGAGATCAGTAAGCTAAAAATGTGTTCAAAGTTATCATTTGGATTGGTGTTTGGCACAATCAGTGCTCAATAGCTGGGCCATTTGGCTTAATTTAAGACTAAGACTGGCATGATCCAGTGGACTAAGAGTGATCCTAAGGCTAGGGTTAACATCTGTCATGCCAGATTCCCTGAAGTGATAGAGAAAGAGTTGCCATGCTGTGAATTGCCTGTTAAATTTAAGGCTGGTTCCAGTGTGGATTGTGGGGTGAATCTTAGGGCTGGCATTGGGGTCCATGTTGCAGTACAAAATAACAAAGGGCGATGAGCTAGATTTTTTTCGATATGGTGTGTCTAGTCTAGATTTAAGAACATTCACCAGAAATACATGCATAGACTTGCATGGATTAAGTAACTACTATCTAGGGTAAGACCTAGGTAGCTGGCATACTCTCTTTATGCCATTTTGCCAGTACAGAGGGTAGCTGGAATGCTAAAGCAAGCCACCAGCAAGGCACTGAATTGATGCTGGGGAATATTCCCACCTATTGTTATGCCAATGACTTGGCTTTAGCTACTCCATCCCTTTACCTGCCCACATATGCTGTACAGGGAAAAATGCAAGCTAGAATATTATCTCACTATCACTAGCTTCTGAAAAGTCTCTTGGGGATCAGGAAAGCCTGTTAGATGTTAGGGAAATGTAGTAGCTCCTCTGAGTTTCAAAATTAATCACTCGGGTCACTAATCTTTAAAAAAATTTGGAAGCATGATGTCATACTTTACTCTCACCTATCTGGGTTTGTACAAGATGCCGTCTGCAACAAAGATCAGACTCCAGGATTTTAATATCTATTTTATATATTGATATGTTGTAGATTATAATAAAACCCTCATGGCTTGATAATTTTTCTGGATAGCTAAATGTGGTAAGTACTGTTACACACAAGAATGTGAACACAAAATGGTGTATATATGTAAAGAATTATGGTCTCTTTCCAATTCTTTCTGTCTTTCATTTTCATTTTAGTTGGAGATGATTCAACGAATATGTTAAATACTCAAAGTGCAGAGGATACAAACCTGCACCAGGTATATTTTTACAAAGAATCCTGATATTAATTTGATGATGAACTGTTAAGGCTTGCTAGCAGTCTTCAGTAAACTAAGGGAGACAACTATTTCTGAAATGTGTTTCAAAACCAGCACGTAATGTACAGGATGCTTCAAACCCAGCAGGGACTGAAACAGAGTGACATTCAGTGTTATGCCTGTTGTTTGGCAAGCAGTTGCTGATACTGGTACTTGGGATAAGTTGCAGCCTCATGAAGATGCAAGACAGAGACAATCAGCTGCCTCCCATGGACAGTGGTACTTGCTGTGTTTTTGCAAGTGCTGCAGAGGTAGTTTACAAGCATGGTACATCAGTGCCTCTTTGTACTTGCAGAAACCTGACTGAACCTACAAGATGTTGCCTGGCTTGTAGCAGTAGGGTAGGTGCTTCTTGCCCCTGTGTAGTAGGTTGTGTTGGGTTCCAATAGAAAAGGGTTAGGGAGCCACTGTCTTTCACAGAGGTTGCACAATTACGCCATGAAACCTCAGTAAGATGTGGGAGCTGGTGCCTCACGTGAAGACACCATGATCAGTCACTTGGGTCATAGTTTGCTTGTATGTAGCACAATAGCTTTCGGCATTAAAATCTGTACTCTCCCCCTCTTGTTTTCTCCCCTTTGAACAATGATAACTGGTAATATCTGAAACATACAATGCTGTGTACACAGACACTTTATTCTTGCTTTCTGAAGCCTTACATAGTTACGATAACTGTCCTTGTTACTCACAGTAGTGCAGTCTACAGTGTCCTTATAAATGTTATGCTATAACAGCAGCCATGGTGTATAGTCTTAGATTACACTTTAAAACATTAGTTGATTGATGAAGGATATTTTCCAAGTAGAAGGTGTTGTAAGCATTTAATTGGGATAACCTATTACTGTGGCTGTGTAATTGTGTGAGTTGTTACAGTGTTTGTGTTTGGGTTCCATCTCCAGATACAAAGTTATCAACAGGATAATTCTAGTTAGTCATTGGCCTTTGGAGCAATTTTGTTGTGGGGTGGCCATGAGTTGATTCTGGGTGTTTTTGCTGTATTGTTTCCCTTTCTATATAATTTCCTAGAATCATTGCAGACAGGTTTGTGAAACTGTAGCTCTGGTGTATGACTATAGAATCAATGTAGTTTTAGTTCTGTAAAGGCAGAGCATTAATTTGAAACTAGCTCAATTTTCAGAAATAAGTAAAACTGTAAAGCACTTCAGTAGTATTTATCATTGAATTTCACCCCTTAATTTTTACACTTTTATACACGTATTTCTTAGTTCTTTAATTTCTTTGTCCTGTTGTATTAAAAAGCTGCACAGGCAGAAGAAATCACTTAGTTTTAGAGTAGCACAATTTTCTTTCAGTATATAATAAAGCAATTTATCAGAAAATGAAATTAAGTATATGGCCTGTTTTATAGATAGAATTCAACGTAGATGGCACAGTTCAACATGATAATAGGGAAGCATCAAAGGAAGTTTTGCTAAAAATGAGCAAAGCAGAAAAAAAATGGTGAAATATACAAAAATTAAAGTTCTTCAGGATTCTGAAGGCAGAAAATCAAATGGAAAAAAAAAATAGAAGTTCAAAAAAGAAAAATAGATCTGCTATTCTCGTAGCAGAGGCAACAGCCAAGAGTAAAGCTATTCAGAAATAATGTCTCATGTTAGATGGACCTCATGTTTAGGTCCACTTACAAACCAAGGAACAATTAATTGACAGGATAGGTATTTCCCTGAAGCTGGGCCTAAAGAAGCGAGCCACACTGTTGCTGTTTCTAATTATAATTGTTGCATCCCAGTTAATATTATAGGAAAACTGAGCTAAGTCGCATAGAATTGCAACAGAAATATGAATTCAACAGTTATAACAGTAAAATTCCATTTCCAGAAGAAAAGGACAGAACTGGTGGAAGCTCAGCAACTTCTTCTGTAACAGGGGAGGAGATCACCAGTCTGCATTGCCCCACAACAGTGGTTTCTGGAGAAAAAGCGTCTGCCCAGCATTCTCAGACTACTGCTTTAACAGAACTTGATTTGCAGTCAATACTCACTTGCTTTGACTTCCTCTCACAACGTACCTTTTTAAAAGTTACAATAGGAAGTCAAGAGTTATGACGGTGGTCAACATGGTCTCAAGCAGAGTAACAGTAGTAGTTTGAGTGACAGGAATTTAAATACCAGTATGAGAATACCTTCAGAACTAATTATTTCTTTGCAAAACTTCACAAATCAAGTTAAATAAGATGTTGCGTTTTGGTGTTAATGCAAACAGCACGTCTCCTTATTCATTTCAGATTGTGGAAAATATGCAGAAAGAAACCTCCCAGAAAACAGGTGCCATGTTTTGTTTGAAAATAATTATTTTATGAGTTTGTTGTAAGCATGCTGTATATTTTATTTTAAAAATCCAGCTGTGGGTCTCCAGGGAATGAATTTTGCCATAAATTAGTAACAGACAATTGGAATGTGTTGTGATACAGTCCACTATGCCAGATTAACTAGTTAGTAATTTTTGCTTTGTATTTTTGGGGACTGTCTTATATCCAAGTCCCCATTGTATTTACCAAAATGTGACCACAATAGTCATTACAATTATTAGAGTGGAATTCTTAGGAACCTTTATTTTTTTAAAATAACTAAGAAGCAATAAAGGTCATATTTTCACAAAAGAATCTTTGAATTGTTCTGGATTCAATCTCAGTACATTAACATATGGTGAGTAATGGATAAATGATTTATTACGTTAAAGTATTTTCAGAAATTGCAGTGAGTTACTGCAGGTATTTTTTAACCTAGATTGGGTGGTCATTTTGACATTCATTTTAATATCAGTTACAATTTCTGAAATTACTGAGTATTCTGCCATAGATAGTCCTAAGTTATTTTGTTAAACCAACAGATGAAGGAGTGTTTGCTGAAGTAAGTGGAACAGAAGGCACTGAAAAAAATGAAGAAGGAAATGCAGAGACCGATGTTCTTTCACAGTTTACTGAAACAGAAGATGTCCAAACAAAAAGAGTAAGATTAGACCCTCAGGAGACAAGCCAAAAGGCAGCCTCCTATTCCAGTAGCAGCAAAATCAAGCTTTCATCTAATCAATCACAATTCAATCAATCATCAGAACAACAAGCATCCGAGAAATCAGGTGAAAAGTTAAAAATACTTTATGAAAATGGTGGGGTTTATTTACAGGCATGCATGAAGAAGAGTTTTTGTAATACATGAGGGAAAGTTTGCAAAAATATATATATCATGTTGAGCAAATACTCTAGTGAGTTCCAAATACTTGAAATATTTCCAGTACTTCTGTACTCCCATTTTACAGAATGCACATAATTACTTTCTTTTGTTTACATTATATTTGTCAGTCTTTCAGCATTGTGGTTGAGGGGATGCAGGATCATAACCCAGATCTTAAAATAACATTAAATTGATCCTTAGTTAACTATGTTACATAAATGATAGTTTAAAATAACACTAAATTGGTCCTCAGTTAATCATTTTAAGTATCCCAGATTAAACAAGAAAACCTGGCTCTCCATATATTTAGCACCCATATATGCACTTATATTTTATAGACTGTATCCCTATCAGGCACATATTGGCATAGGCTCTGTACTGGTACATTTGGTTTTAGCTGTAGTGTAGAAACAAACCTACTTACATGTCAATAAGGATCTAGTGTCCTCCAGTAGTTATATTATTTTCTGCCTGCATGTACAGCTTTCTGTTTAGCGGTTTCATCCCGTGTCTAAGACTTAGATTTGTCTTGTAGCCTTACCATCACAATAGAGCCCTGGTCCAGCTGATTACTCATCATAGCCCCCAAGTGTTTTTCACTTAACTGCTTTTTTGGTAAAGTTGGCAGTCATCTTGTGTGCTTTGGTTCTTTCTGGATCCAGTGAACCACAGCACTCAAGACTTACTAAAAGCAAAACCTATAGTTCAGATGGATATATCCTTCCTCTCTTAATACTTGTAAATGTAATATATCTGGAACTCTGATTCAAAAATATTTATCCTCATATCTTTTGGCATTCTTCTTAACTTGTGTTGAAATGAAAAAAAATGTTTCATTAGATTACCGGAATTTCTTCTGTAGCTTTGCCTTGATATGGAATAGAGTATTTGTCTTTTCTGATTATCTTAGACAATTCTGTCATTTCTCTCTAGTAATTAAGTGTTTGAGAATTATTTTTTCTGGTTTTGATAGGTGTTAAAATACTACCTTCCTAGGACCTTAGATTTTTGTGACTATCTTCTTGTATTCTTTTGTTTTCCACAGCAGTTTCTACAATTCCTTATTTATACCTGCTACCACTCACTTCCCTTTTTTTCCATTTCTTATTTACTGCTACTCTCTAATTCCCTTCCTAGATCAGGTTGGTTTTTGAACCAGTGCAGTTTTTCATCTTGAGTGTGGGCTATGTTGTGAAAATTCTCTGCTGACATTTTTTCTTCAAACTGTTTTTTATTTATAATTGCTTCCAGCTCTGTGAAAGTTTTCCTTTCAAATAACTACGGTGTCAGTGTAAATGTATGCTTTGTATATACATACATAGGAAAAGATGTTTTTTATATACATAGGTTTATAGAAGTATGTGTGAGTGCATGTGTGTTTGTGTGCAGATGTAACATTTTATTTATTTTTTCTAAGTGTGTGCAGCAAAAAAATGTAGTTTCCTCCTTGGTCTGAAGTTATGTGTTGCTGGGGTCTATTGGTCAAACTTCGGTTGCCTTTGAGTGGAATATAAATGAATGCTAGCATTAAGTATATTGTATATATTCTGAAAATCAGTGGGATTCATGATCTTACATCCGTTAAATGCTTTTAAGGCTAGTGTACATAACAGTGTGTATACTTAAAATAATACACATAACAAATATACACACACCCCCATACACACACACACAATATGGACAAATACATCTGCACACATACTATCAGCATACTCATTTGTTTACTTCTTTTTGTTGTTTGCTTATTAACCTCCTTCTCTTTGGAGACTTTATATGGTCACTAGTCTTATAAGTTGAATTAAGGAGTCATCAGCCAGTCCCTGCAATGTGCAGTAACACAGGACAAAAACATTCAGGAAACTGCGTGAAGTTCTTGCTGATCCTTTTCTCTTTGATAGTCATAGTCTGCTTGTCCTCTTCTGCCTTCAGCTATACAGAATACTGTTTCCTCTTCTGGTCTCAAGTGGTTGCTACTTTTCAGCCCATCTTAAGTTCTTGCTCTCTTGAGTTTCTGGACTGCAAGCTTGTGTTTTCTTTTGGAAGTTGAAGGGAGAAGGAAAGGAGTAGGTGCTTCTTGTTACTGCTGTCCAGTATTTGGCAATGTCAGTACTTAGCTTTCCTATCTCCAGATTGGTTCCTTCTGTTGTAGGAATACCTTTTCACTTCATTCTGGAAAAAAAACCATGGCATATCTAATACATGTCATCATCCACTGCTAATTATTGGAAGAATAAACATTGAACATAGAAATTATTTCTTTCCCTACAGTTCTTTTTTGTAGCTCCTATATTCCTGCTTAATCTTTATAATAAGGTCTGTGAAAATGAATACATTTTTGGATGTCTTTATATTTTTTGTCTCCTATGTATACTGTTATGATTTTAAAAAATCTTTATTCCAGACATGTCTTATGTTTTGGTCTCCTCTGGAATAGCTTTTCACAGATTACTTTTTCCCCCAAAAGAGATTCTTCAGGTAATATTTTATTCAGCTAAAATTTAATTATTTCCTTCATCCCAGGAGAATGTTGCTGTTTGAGAGGTAATGCAAGAAAGTAAGCCCTTCGTACAGTTGAAGGCATTAATGGCTTTGGAGACAGGGACAATGGCATTCAGATTGCAGCAGAAAAAAAAGTGGAAGATGGGATAATGTTTTCTGACTTGTGGCGTTTTCAGATTTTTTGCTGTCTCATGCCTTTTCTTCATTAACTGGCTTTTGTATCTTATCTGATTGTTCCTGTGTCCCAGCAGTCTTCCTTATATTACTCTATTCTTGAATAAAAATATTTTCGTCCTAAATGATGCAGCGTCACTTTCATCTACATTCAGTCACTTACTAGCTCTCAAAATTCTTGTTCTGTTTATACATAAGGAGAGTACAAACAGTTTCCTTATTTTCTCATAGTTCAATCTGTGGGAAGAATTACTCATAGACCTATGCTGAAGTATTCAAATATCTTTGTGAAGGAGGATATCCTTGAAGTTGTTGAGGTATGGCAGCCTAATCTAGTCTGATTGCTGGTTACTGTAATCTCTCCATTATATCTTTGTGCATGTGCTGACTGGATTTTGTATTTGGAGAGTTCCTGATCTTTCCTGCTTGTGACCCACCTGGCAATGCATTCCACAGAGAACCAGTATTTTGTGATTCACATACCAACGTCCCACTATGCTTCTGCAAATGTTTCCTAACAACCATGAAGAAAACTTGTTCATGACAGCTTAACTGGAAGACTTTGCAATTACTTCTGTTCGATTTCAGCCAATATTGCTAAGGGTCATTAGCTTAATGGGCTGTTGTGTGCCTTTTTTTCCTCCTATGTCTCTAAAGAGTCCCTAGGACACTCTTCTGTGAATCAGAGAAGAAAATGAAGAACCAGAAAGTGGATGATTGCTTTGAGAGTTCAGACCCAGAAGCTTTTAAACAAAACACAATGCATTTTCTTTCAGAAAAGTAGGTCTCAGATTGGAGGAGTATTTCAGTAACATGACCCCTCTGCATGCTCTAGAATTTCAGTGTTCATTTGAAAAAGAAACTCTTTCGCTCTTCATGTGCCAAGCACCCCCAATGCAAAGAGCCTCAATGCTTCCTGACAGATTAGAATAGCCTACACTGAAGTCCATGCTGCCATAGCCTGGCTGCAGCAATGCCTGAACAAGCTAGTTTAAAATTAGTATGGATATATCCTCAGTATATGTCTGTCTTTAATATAGTTGCAGTATGTCTTTCATGTTCTTCCAGACAGTCTTGGATGACAAGCTCAGTAGTTTACCTTAAAGGAAACCTTGAAAAAGCAAATTTTCCAGAAGGCAGGAAGTGCCTGAAGAAAGACAGCTGTCAAATCGTGGAAGATGTTTGATAGAAATGGATACTGATAACTGAAAATATTTGAGAACACAGCTTGTCTGATGAGAAGAGGAAATGCTTGGCATGCATCAACTAATTGTTCATATAAATAATTGAAAAAACATAGATAAGAGTTGCAAAACCTTACACTTTCACTTTTTTGGGTGGATTACAGATTTTCAGGAAATCAGAGAAAGAACACAGTGAACTTCTAAAAGAATCTGATAGCACAGCATTATAGCAGGAGTAGGAGTTAAAAAAAACTTAACATGCATTGTAGAGCTTTTGAAGATTTATACACCCTGTCTTTTTGGTAGCAGTTTGGGGGAGGGAGTTGTCCTTACTCTATACACAGAATCAGTATTTTTTAAATCTGTTTTTTTCTTTGTGTCCTTACAATTTGTTATGTCTGTTGCCTGAAGCCTCAGAATTAGGACCTGTCTGATGATCACATGATAAAATTTAAAATGGGTGTTCTTTGCTTTGTGAACCACTAAGAGAAGGGCTAAATCAATTTTATTTACAGTTGCAGGCCCGATCCTGCACACGTTTAATTAAAAGTCAGCTCAGCTATGTCACTACACATTAATCAAAAATTTGTAGTCAGTGTACAGGACTTTTTCATGTCAGAGTTGTAAAAATACCGTATGTAGAAACCTATCTCTTCCCTGATACAGAATTGGGAACAGGGGAGAAGTGATAGTCAAGTCTTCGCTTTTATATAGTTTCTTAAATACCTTTATGTGTGTACTTTATATATTTAGCAGGCATGCTTGATAACTTGAAAGCAGTCCACAGAGAAACATAACATACTCCCTTCCTCTATACAGTATAAAACTTCAACCTCGTTACATTTTTTGTTGTTTCCTAATTTATTGTACCCTTGTTAAGTCATCTAGATTTGGACTGTAGATTCTTTTGCATAGGGTCTGTTTATTACCTGACCTGTTATGCTGTACCTTCTAACCTTTTGATGTAGTCTGTTAATGTTATTGAATAATTAAGGCAACAGTACTGCACACATTTACATTAATTCAAATGAGTTATGAAGCTTAATTCTTTGTTTATAATGAAGCATTTTTTGTGATTCCTAATGAACACCCAATATGTGTTTAGAATTATCCCTGTCTACCAGAAAAGAAGATCTGATTGGTACCTGTAATACAAGAGCTGGGAGAAAGATGAACAAGAGAAATGCAAAAGGGGAGACCCGGCTGCATATTGCTGCTAGGAGAGGAGATTTGTCTTTGGTGAAAACTCTGATATCATCTGGAATTTGTGTCAATGAACAGGACTATGCAGGTTTCAAAATTACTCCCTTATGGTCTTGTTTTATGATAGAATTTGTGTAATTTTAATATAATTATGGATTCTTGATTTATGATCTGATTGTGAGGAGGGAAGGAAGTAATTCTACAAGTGCAAGCACAGTAAGTAAATCCCTGGATTTTGTGTCTCAGCATGAAGCTAATGCATCCTTTTTCTCAGCACAGAAAGTGGACTTGAAAGTTTATCGGCAGAACTAATGCTTAGGCACATGAATATATACATGTGTGAAGCACATTCACACAAATCTCATTTCCTTAGGAAATGAGGACAAAAATCAGATGACAAGATAATTTTTTCCTTTTTCCACCTAAATGCCTAAAAACACATTTCTGTTTTTATAGTCTCAAAATGGATAGTATTCTATTCTGGATGCTTGGCAGACAATATTATAAAATGCCACTGGGATTAGAAATCGGAGTATTTTGCTTCTAAGTTTTTAGAGTCTTTCTACTCCATTGTTTTTTTTATTATTTTTAGTTGTGTAGTAGAAAAGTAAACAATATATTTCTGCTTAATATTGGATACTTTTTTCTCTAAAGTAAACAGAATTACACCAGAAATCATTTTCCTTGGCATTTCAAAATGATTACTTGTATAAGATACTTCATAAAGAGAGTAGTACTGTTGTACAGCAAACACAACAAAATGTATAATCACTAACTAGTGATCTGTGTGGATCTTTCCAAATCAGATGCATGCTGTATGTGTCATCTTGCTTTTATTAGGTTGGACAGCAATTCATGAAGCTTCCAATAGGGGATTTACTGAAGTGGTCTTAGAATTACTGAAAGCTGGTGCTAATGTTAACAGCAGAAGTCTGGATGGTATTTTGCCAATACATGATGCTGTTTCTGGCAATTATTTGGAGGTACATTTTTCTTTTACATTAGATTTCCTGTGCCTGATTTCCAGCAGAGGGTCAGCAAAGCAAAATTCTGGTTTAAATATGGAAAGTCAAATCTACTGATACAATTTTAGTGTAGTTTTGCATTTAGAATATAGACTAATATTATTTAAAGTGATCAAAATTAGAGAAGGAAGTATTTTTCAATAGTGACAGCTGAAATTGTACAGTTAGTTCACTTTTTCTAGTCCAGAGGACAAAGCAGAAAAGTTCAGAAGCTCCCCATGGTTCTTTCCCACATATCAGGCTTTTTAAAAAAAATCCTGAAATTGAGCATTCTCAATTTGATCATCGAGTTCCAACCCCCCTGCCCTGGGCAGGGACGCCTTCTACTAGATCAGCTTGCCCAAAACCCCGTCCAACCTGACCTTGAACCCTTCCAGGGAGGGGGCAGCCACAGCTTCTCTGGGCAACCAGTGCCAGTGCCTCACCACTCTCACTGTAAAAAATTTATTTTTTGTAAAGAAAAAAACCTGAGCCTGCTGTTGAAAAATCAACCATTTTTTTTGCATTAACTGGTCCCTTACAACCCAAACCATTCTGTGGTTCCATAGAATAGAATAGACTGCTTCAGTTGTAAAAGGCCTACAATGAACATCCAGTCCAACTGCCCAATAAATTCAGGGCTGACCAGAAGTTAAAATATGTTATTAAAGGCATTGTCCAAATGCATTAAACACTGGCAGGTTTGAGGCATCAACCACATCTCCGGGAAGCCTGTTTCAGTGTTTGACCACCCTCTTGGTAAAGAAATGCTTCCTGATGTCCAGTCTGAAGCTCCCCTTGTGCAGCTTTGAGCCATTCCCATGTGTCCTGTCACTGGATTCCAGGGAGGAGAGCTCAGCACCTCCCTCTCCACTTCCCCTCCTCAGGGAGCTGCAGAGAGCAACAAGGTTGCCCCTCAGCCTCCTTTTCTCCAAACTAGACAAACCCAGAGTCCTCAGCTGCTCCTCCTAGGACACTCTCCAGCCCTTCCACCAGCTTCGTTGCCCTCCTCTGGATGGATTCAAGGACCTTAACTCCCTTCTTAAATTGTGGGGCCAAGAACTGCACACCAATAAATAAAATGTTGGTTGGGTACGGTGAGTTCCATGGAACTGAGCATAAAAAGGTGATGCCAGATTGGCTCAAACATACCACTTCTATTCCTGTCAGAAGAGCTGATATTTCATCACATTCATCTTTTCTGTGAGGAAAGACAAAATGAAGGGGATGATTTCATAGGCCTGGTGTCAAAGTATCAGTAGGCCACTTGAAAACATCTACGCCATTACTCAGTGTTGTGGGGGAAAACTGGTGGAGAAGGTTCTGAAATTGTAGAGACTATTGTTTTTCTGATCCTTAATGGCACTTTGAATGTAAGAAAGAAATAATGCTAAAGATGAGAAATCATATGTTTGAAAATTCTTTACCTTCCAAGCTCTGACCCCATCACCACTTTCATATGATCTGAATTTTAGGGGGTAAGTGATAGCAGTGATGCCACTAATCTAATTTCCACATTTTACAATTAAGCAGACTTACAAGTGATTTGTAATTAGGAGGAAAATCCTCAGTGCATGTAACCAAAAAACCAAAACCACTATTAAATACTTAAAGAAAAAAATTCACTTCTCTGCACTTTGGTTTTAATACAATTGACCAGTTCTTTTTAATTTAGATATATGAAGTTTTGTAATTGCTGTCTCTAACAATACTTTAAAGATGATACGTTTAATGACAGGTTGTGAATTATTTGTGTATTTTAATGGAAAAATTAGAAGTGTAAGATAGAAGTCTGTGTTGATAATAACCAAATATATGTATTTGCTTAATTGGGATTACAAGTGTAACAGGTTTTAGAGTATCTTATTTGTACCTTTATTATTTGTGATAGATACAACACATATAGTAGTATTATAAGTCCACAACAAGAATTATCACAGTACTAATACTAATACATAATAGGCAGTCAGGACTCTACTACAGCATGGAGCGAATCCCTGTGAGAGAGATGGTTCAGGGAAAAGTGCTTTGGATGGAGCTTGTGATGATGAAATGAAAGAATTGCTGAACTCATACAGCGCTATGGACTCTGTACTCCCTGTTGAGACTACTGAAGTTACAAGTACGTTGGTTTCGTAATGTGAATCATAGGATTACCCTGTAGTCCTAAGGAAAAAATTATACGTTAGAGTGCTGCTGATTTGTGGAGCTGCATATTTCCTGGCACTGATATTTTAAACTCTACTAACTACTGAACTTCTTTTTATTTATTTTCAGAAAAACAGAATACGTGAGTTTGGGTTTTTTTCCGTGGGAGAATGAGGTATAAGGACATATTTGGCTCTTCCTATTTTTGTTATTATCCTTATTTCTCATTACAGGAATATGGTGACAAAAAAGGGAAGCATGGTTCCTGTAGGCATGTGTTTCAAGTCAACCTAATCATATAAAAAGGGATCATTAGATAACAATGCACTCTCTTAGCAATGTTGTTCAGTTACAAGCACATGAGCCCCTCCATGATCAAGAACAGCTATGTCTGTACGTGAAGTAACAGATTTAGCAGTTTCATTCTAGTGCAGCTGGTCTTTCAGGAGCCAAAAATAATTTATGAGAGAAAAAAGAGAAATCTTTGAGGCAGACACTGTGGATGATGGGCAGTTTCAGAAAAGCTGGTGCCTGGAGGTATAATTTGTCAGGCTATCAAATCTCAGTTCAGATTTATCTCAAGAACCTACTAAATGAGACTGAGTTCCTGGGAGATCACGATACTGGTGCTCTGTACCAGTCTGAGTCTATTGTGTCTGTGCCGTGACTGTTCAAGTGGCAAAGCTGGCTGCAGGAATGCCTTTGACCAAAGTCTCTCTCCCCAGCTACCCTTGCCGTCTAGACAGGGCTGCTTACTTTGAAGCATCTCATGCCCATGAAAGAGTTTTGCTTCCTGACAGAAAGGAAGGGGTTTTAAAATAATTATTTTCCTGAATGTAGGGTGGAGCTTTTAAATTATATTTAAAATAGTCAAATTATACCTTTAAAAATAAATATGAAATATGAAATTATGCAGATGTATATAGGTTCCAACTCAAATTCATGGTTTATGAACCGTTAATTAAAATCTGTATGTTTCCTTGGAAAATTTTTGACAAACAGGTAGGTGATACGATAGACAGAAGCCTATAGATAGAGATCAGTGCAATTTCATAAATGAGCAAAATAAAACCATCAGACTTTTCCTGTTTAGGGGTATGAGAAAAATGAACATGGTGATCTGTTACCACTACTGACAAAAGCATTAATAATCTAGCCCCTCTTAACTAAATCGTAGTTATTACTTGTGAAGAGGCACAAGACTGAACAAGAAATTAGAAGTACATTGTCAAACTTAAAATATAGAATAAAATCCTCAAAGTATTTGCATGCAATACAACCTACTATAAATAATAGATTAAAATTCCCTATTAATCTGCCTTAATAAGAGCAGTATTTTAATATTTTTCTATTTTAGTAAGTATGTGAGTACTGATAGATACTATGAAACAGGTTGGGGGAAACATTTTATAAATGCTATTTTTAATTCTGTAGTTTCCCATTTTTCATGATTATGGAAAGCTTGTATTTCCTATTGTAGAATTTCAGCAATTAGATTACATGTTTAGCATATTATCCCAGTGGTATCCATTGGTCAAGACTTCTGAGCAATCCCTTATGTCATATCAAGAGATAGGGCATATAAAGAATTCATTATTTCTCATTTTAGAAAAATATAGCTAACAAAAAGAGACAACTTATAATTATTTTATTTTATAATATGGATTTGAAACTATGTAAAACTGTGGTACATATGTTTTTACCATTATATGTAACTTGGAACAGTCTGAGCTCATTAAACTATTTTGTAATATTGAAACATAAAGGTTTTAGCTACCTTCTTAAGATTGTGTAACTTCTGCAGATAGCCTCACATATAATTGTCATGCTGTGTAGCTCCTTGCAACACAAAGAACTTAAAAAGTTTCAGTGTTTATCATCCATGGACAGTTCTTTAAAATATCCTGTTCTCTTAGTAATTTCCTAGACAAGGCACTCATAGTTCAAAATTTCCCAGCATTTGGGTTATTTCCTCTAATTGTAAAGAGCTCTCATTATGCATGACAGTGTAAGGTACTGCTGTAACAATATATTCATACTTGGGCTGTGTATTTTCTACATTAAAAATGTTATTACTATAATAATTTTCTACTTCTTACTGCCTTCATTATTTTGATTATATCAAAATATTGGACAGATGTGTATATCCCAAGGCTATCTCAGGTGGAAGATACTTTGAATGAAATGCTTGCAAAAGAGAGAACAGAAAGGGCTACCCTTGCTAAAAAATACAGGTAAGTAGAATATAAGGATTATATTTATAGGAAGCTGTTCTTTATAGCCGTAGTGATTGAGGTTGTTAGAGGGTTAGCATACAGTAGTGTGAAAGTAAAACTATGTGGTTTTTATTCAGATTTTGCAGGAGCATAGGGTTCATCCATGTGAACAAATTAGTGGCTGAATTAAGAAACAAGAACTGTAAAATTAGTACCTACACAAACTTACTTGCCTTCTAATTTTGAGAGTGAAGCTGTGTTCCAGAGTGAAGCGATAAATATTTCTGGGTATTTTACATACCCTGCAACTAATGCAACAGCTATCCGTCACCAGCAATGAGCTATATGCCAGTTTACATTAAATTTCCATTTTATTATTTATATGGTGAACATTTTGTTTTTAACTAATTAGCATGTAGTTTTTGTCAAATGATACATAAATGTACAGACAATCAGGAAGCATCATCACATTTTCCATCTTTCTGTTGTTCAGTTATTTGGCCCAGGGAGAGATGATACTAACACTTTTCCATTTCTGTCAGTTCCTTTGAAGATACCAAGACGTATCTCTCACCTAAGAAAAATAAGCAAAAAAAAAATCATCTTATTTGTTAGTGACTGTAAATTAATTTGCCTTTGTTGTTTTATTTACGCTATCTTTGCATCGTTCAGTTGCAGCTTCTTCTGCACCTGTATAGCAATAAAGCAACAAAATTTCCCTGAAGAAACACTGCTAGAAAAGTGTGTGGAGCCTCACTGGCCTGTGTGGGAGTCCATAGTTGTCAAGGCTTACTCATATCACTGACTGACTATATGCTGATATGTTAATGAGATCATGATTCTCAACACTTGTGATAGCAAGCAATATTACAGTACAGGCAGCAATACTGTCACACTGTGGTTTGGCTGCCCTTGTTCTGCACCAACTAGTCTTGCTGTACCACTGTCCTGATCCCCTCAATGGTCTCTCTCTTCTGAGACTGGGATGGTGTTACTTGCATGGCCCCTCTGCTCTGGGTGCACGTAAAAGCAAGCCATGCTGATATTTCTTTTCCCACACCTTCTGGTACTCTCCTGTCTTCCCAGCATGATGCCAGACTGATAGTGCAATCACTTGTGCCATGAAGGGGAATTAGGAGAGAAGAGTATTATGCTGGGCTGGTGGCTTTTGTGCCAAATGAAGTGGGGAAAATAAAGAATTCCCTTCCATCAGGAAGGAGGTAAAGTCCCCCCAGGGAAGCAGCTCAACTAGGGAGTAGGGTCTGATGGAGAAACATTCCTAAACTAACATACAACATTCCAAACTCCGCTGTCTTCTTTTCTTAATGGTCGTGTTGTATTATTACAGTTGTGGTTTCACAAAATGCTTTGTTGTGTAAACCATAAAAAAATTTCTGATAATATCGTCCTTCAGTAGCTCATCCTGAGCTCATTTTAAAAGGCTCCAATTTAGAGCTGCAAAGGCAGTGAATTTCAATGAACTATTGTGATTTTTGGTGGTAAAAGAGCAGCCAGTGATTATATACCCAGTTTCGATTCTGTGAGTTAAGGGTGGTATAGTAGGACAAGGCCATTACTTAGGTAATCATGCTTTACATCCTACTTCTAGATAAGATTCTGGAGTTCGTTGTGCATAAGCCTGGGATTTGAGCTATAAACTTTATACATGATAAAAAGTTGGTTCAAATTTTAGGTGCTGGCAGAGTCCTTTGAAACATATTCATGTTCTTAGTGGGTAGCATCTGTTAAACTGTTTTTATTTTGTGTTTATAATAACTGTGGTGTCCTTATTACTACTTTTTTTTAAAATTTTCTATAGGGCTTCAGTGGAATCTTTGAAAAAAAGAGCATCAAGGAAGCAATTAGTTAACCTTGCTTCTAGGCAAAAAGGTCTGTTGATTGTCTCCCAAACCCAGGAAAAATTAGTCCAGAAGATAAAAAATTACAGAAAAACAAAACAAGTGTCTGATGCATTGTGTTCAGAGAAGCAAAGCTCAAACTTAGTTATTTCCCATGGAAATGATAAAAGACAAAGTTCAACTGCTGATGAAATCATGTGTCTTGATGTAGTTACATTTGGTATGGGGCTTGGTGCCAGCGTGCCTAATGGAAACAGAGTAGAACCACATCTCTCTTCAGAAAATAGATTTTCAGCTCAGGAATGCAGCCAACATCCACACATCTGCTTTGATGAGAAAGGAGCAAATAAAGAAGCAATTAGAAGGAAAGAGGCTTCTGATCATGCTTTGGCATCTGAAAACAGTGTAAGAGAATATCCCTTCAACATGTCAAAGCTGACAAATGCTGTAGAAGTGGTGACGTTCTCTTCAGAACCTACTGTTTCCACTGCTAAAACAAAGCGCTCACAGCAAAAAGACATTGATTGTGTAGTAATTGCAGAACAAGGAAACAAGTCTTTATATCCCACTTCAGTGACCAGCGCTTTAAATGTTGTAGAACCCCAAAGTGCTGTTGTCAATAACAATGTCTGTCAACCAGGCAGTGACTGCCAGCAAGGTCTTACAGATGAGGATCTGCACAGATATGTAAATAAGAAAGAAGCTTTCAAGCAACGGCAGCAGCAACAAGTAATTTTGTCAACATCTACAAAGAACTTCCCAAATACTCTGCAGCAAATGATCTTTCCCAGTAGTAAGAACTCACTTAATACCAACTTGGTGCTTACAGATCATACCTCAAATACTGATTATCCTGTAAACCTCAGTGAGGAATCTTCCCAGAGCTACAGTAATCAGGAATGTGAGCAAAAACAAGTGAGGTATAGAAGAAAAAATAGCAAAAATCTTCAATTGATAGATCTACTTGAATTGGGAAGGATTAAGCCAGGAGAAAATGTCTTAGAATTCAAACTGCAGGTAATTGTTACAATATAATAATGTTAATATTAGCATAAAATGAAAAAAAAAAAACAAACACTAAAATGGGGAAACAACAGTTCTTATGGTTTAATCTGCATCTTCACCACTTAGTATTGAAAATTTTTATTCATTGGTTGCACATAGTATTTTATGAGTTTTAAAGGAAAATACTATGGATGCTGTCTTCTGCTAGGTCATAATTTTAACACCCAGAATATTGTATATGTAAAATCTGTCTTTAGCTTTGCATTATCAGTCTGTTAACATTTCCTATTGCTAGAAGCAGAGTGGATTTATTGGTTGGTCTACACTGTGTGATATCTGATTTTCATATTGGAAGGAGTGGGTATATTAAGGTTTTTATGACTTACTGTGATGGTGGGAAGCAACTATCAAGTCTCTTGAATAAAAAAATGAGACATGAAGGATTTCATAGTGCTGTGATAGACATGAATAAATGCAAAATTACTTTCCAGCGGGTTCTATAGTTTACAGTCTGGTATGAACCATATTTGGCAAAAAAAAAAAACAAAACAAACTCTTTTTTTTTTAATACAAAAGCATGTCCCTGTGCCTCCAAATACAGAGCAGATTTTCAAGGCAGCTGCCAGGGAACTGGCATGGTATTGAGCAAATGATGAGATTATTGACTGAATTCCTAGCTGCAAGCTAGTTAATTTCCAGGGAAACATATTGATGAAAACATGAAAGGTTCTTTTCAGCCAACTCACCAGGTCTAGTTAATGTAGAAAAGACTCCTTTTTCTTCACCTATAATCTGCTCAGAATTGCTTCTCTGCTTAGAGAGGCCATTTCATGTCATCTTGCATTTTGTAACATAAGGCAGTGTGAGTAAGTCAGAGGTCTCTGTTGGGCCATGTCATAGGTGTGTATATATATATGTTTCTTTAAAGGACGTGTAATATTCCTCTAAACCTCAAGACGACTAAATGGAAGGAAGAGGAACTCCATATGCTTACTATCATTTCTGAAGACTGTTTTATGTGATACCAGCTTGATGCATGTGGATCTTTAGGAATTATAACCCTGTATTGAAATGTTTATGTTTGCAGTGTAGAGAAGTAGTAAATTTTACTAGACTTAAAATGACACTTATTTATGTCATGGAAGATAATGCTATAAAGATCAAAGTTAGAAGCCAGTGTTTGTTGCATTACAAAGAGAAGAGGATCAGTAAAGTTTCCTTCTTTCTCATTATAGTGATGTACTTGGTAACAACATACAGCTAGTACATAGTCCTTACTTAAGGTTAGCTTTGGGCAGGCAGAATGCAGTTTTTGAATGCTGTTGACCTGAAGTGTGAAACTGTGAACTGCATTGAGTGTCCATCAAAACATTTGGGTTAAACATCTTAATTTAGATTCTTATAGACACCCCAAGCCAGTGGATATGGTAGGAGGTGGTTCAGTATTTGCTGGTGGATCATTCTCTTGCTCTGATTGTTTAACGTCACACATGCTAAGCAACCTTACTAAATTCTAACACAGTTTATCATCAGCTAATTTTTGCATTATTTAGCTGTGTTAGCCTGAGACCAGTATAACAAAACCATAATTGACTGAACTATAAACAACTATAAGCCATGCTTCTGAAGGTGCATATATGTTTGTAGAACTGGGCTGCTTCAGCATTATCAGAGAGGCAGTAAGAATAAGTTCCTTTATATTTCATTTTGCAAAAAATAAGGCTGCCATGTTCCTCCTAAAACATGTAAGTGATGTCCGTTGACATAAGTGAAGTTTCTATGCAGATACGTTTCATCTTTGAATCATTGCTGGAATTTCACTGACATGCATTTTTTCCACACGTGTGAGGCAGATTGCATTTGAGTAACAGTTTCTTGTTGCACTGACTTGCCTCCTGTGAGTTCCTGAGTTCACTGTTGCAAATTAGTTTATTCACAGTCTTGTTATGTCTAAGAGGAACTACAATTCTGACAAACGCACATAGGGAAATTTGTCCTCTGACAGTGGTGTATATGTAGCAAAACCTGGTGGAACTAATCATCTGATTTTACGTAATACAGTGTATGAAAGTGGCATTAAATTTTTGAACTTTTTTCAGAGAAAACCAAAATTAGCTGCAATTCTTCAGCTATATTGTTCTTCAGCATTTTTTAATGTTTTAAGGATGTTAATTGAGATTTGTTAATTTGTGAGTTGAAAATTATTTCTTAATCTTTCTTTTTTTAGGAATTTAGTTATAAGGCCACGCTCTTAAACAGTGGCAAGATCAGAACCAGTAAGAGACAAATACTGTGTAATCCCATTCAGTGGGTTAAAGACCTACTAGGAAATGATATTTCTGTGACACGGAAGTATGTGTGGAATAAGGTAGGCCTGGTTTTACTCCCAAAATTATCAATAATAAATGGCAATTAACAAATTTCATAAATCTGTATCTCTACTGTTCTAAAAGCAAAAGTGAGTACAAGCCTGAACTTTAAAAGTCTTCTTACACTTAATGCAGAAGTGGCAAAGAAAGATCTACATAGCTGTAGCTGTACAGTGGTGAATTAGGCATGAGTGCTGAGAAAACAGATTGCCCACTCTGTAAGCTATCAGTGCTTTGAAAGAGTAGTTTTAAAGATGGTTAAGAGACTGACAGAAAAAGCTGAAAGGTAGTTAGCTGAAAGGAGCAAGCTTATTGAAATATCAGTGTGTCAGGGACAAATGTTGCAAAAATACTGGCAGTTTAGAGGGCTTTGCAGATGCGTTGTATTATGCTTTTTTTTTCATTTAGAATTCAAATTAGCAGAATTTCTGCTCGATCTTGACAGACACAGATTAGACTGTTAAGAGCATAAATTCATTTTTATAAAACAAGTGAAATTATTACACCTATCAGAAAAAAAAAAATAAATAAAATTACCAGTTATCCATTTAGATTTGTTTGTACAGGTTACATATCTTGGGACACAGCTGTCAAAATTTCTTTTTGAAGAAGCGTCAGTTTATAGTGACCTGGAATTACCATCACAAGAAAGAGAGACTACTTCGGGTATGTGCCACTTAAAATCTAATATTCACCATGTCTGAAAGCAGCATAAATTGATTTCTAAAAAGCTTAAATTCCAAAATTCCTCTGTTGCTTTCTGCTTTTTTTCTGGGTTGTATGCTTATCACAGATCCTGGGCTTGAAAAATAAATAGTGCCAGAACTTATATATGATCTTTAAAGAAATAAGTTTCTTTCCATCCATAAATTGGTTGTGTGAAGAGAATAATTACAAATTACTTGGTTGCTATGTAAAAAATATTTATGTAACATTTTACAATAGAAATGTTTAATATATAGTGAAGTTTTTAATAAGCTAATTTAATCCTTTTTTATTCTGTTGGAAACACTAACATAAGTTTTAATCGCATGTACATCTTAAAATCGCATTAAATAATCTGTGTTGCTGGAAATCCCAGTATGCCCAAGCAACGATAATAACTAGGGGGATATTTTATTCTCTAAAAATAAACAGTCATCAGAAACAGAGTGCAATGGTATGACAAAATGACATTGAACAATTTTTTTAGAACTGCCTGGAAGACTTAAGAACTTCAGCCTACTTTTGATAAGTAATATGTTCCCAGGGAAACCCAAGTCCCTTTGACAGACAGTTGCACTTGGAGTCTGAAAAGCTTTTGGGTTTTTTGGTTGCTTCTATGAATTTGATAAGACACTGCACCTCATGTGAATTGGGATACCAGGCTTAGTCTGTTCTTAACATACTAAAAATAAATTAAAAGATAATTATTTAACTGATTTGATATTCAGACTACCATGTTCTGCTGGTAATTGCTTCAGGCAAAGAATATCCAGATGGTGAGTTTACATTGCCCTGCTTTAGTAACTTAAGTTTATACAAGGTACAAGTGACCTAAAAATGGATTTACTCTCCTAACCTTTTAATAGGCTTTTGAATATTTCACTAGTTATTGTAAATTATTCCTCTTGAGGAAAGTTTATTATAAACATTGTAACTTCTAAAACAGAGAAATCTACGTATTCAAAAAATACACTTGACAAAGAAAAATCAGCCTGAAGATCAGCAAGTGTTTTTTTTCCCCCCATTTTTCACAAATAGCCCAGGGTAACCTGGGAAAGAGTATTTAAAGAAGTTTTATTGTCACATGTAATTTAAGATCACCATAATACCTAACCATTAGCCCTAGGCGAGAAGTTGAGGGAGGCAAAGCTGAAATACTCTCCATTGCAGTTCCATTTCAGATACTGTATGGCCAGATAGATAGTAGGAAATTAAACAGTGCCTTAAATCATTCCAGAAAAGGATTAAACCTGCTCTATTGTATTATGAGAACAGCTGGGGGCATTGAGCAGCTCTCAAATGGTTTCCAGTCCCAGTTCAGTACTTAGTTGTTCCAAGGGCTGCTTCCAACAGGCACTTTGCCTGCAGCCAGCCCACTCAAAACACCAGAAAGTTTGCTGTTGTGGATGTGAGCTATTCACAGTGCCACTTGCCTGGGGATGTTCTCAGACACTCTCTTATCTTTCTAATATACTTACAGCCTGTGTGTATTTTGTAGTAGACATTTATCCTGCTTTAGTAAGCACTCAATCTTTTTTTTTTTTTACTGTATTAATGATTTTTTTTTCTATGAATCCCAGAGCATCATTAAAAAAGAAGTCTGGGGCCTGATAATTTGACCGTTTTTGAAGGAGAATGCTATGATTTTAAATACCCCTCCACCACATTCCTTCCAGCTTCCCATGTCTTATCTCAGGGATCACTGAGCTACTGTATGAAGAGTATGGGGGAAGTGGGAGGAAAATGATACAGGCAGTGGATGTATCTCGCCATCTTTAACAGAAAGAAGCAGCTACCACTGAATTTTGTATAGAGCCCAATTTAGGAAGCATGTCCGAAGAACCTTTACCAAATCAAGGTCCCTAGGCAAGACAGATGAAAGGAATTGCTGTATTGTGGCTGCCAGCATAATAAATGTCCCAGCTTTTCAACCTGGTTGAGATTAAGGTGCTTCAAGGTTTGTACAGCAGCAGATTTTTGTGTATCTAAGGAATGCTAATGCAAAAAACTTGAAGATCCCATGAAATAAAGCAGTCCCAGAGCAAAGCAGGTATTTAACAGAAGCTTTAAAGATTGCAGTTTTGGAATTAGTCATATAATCCCAACTAAATTTCACTTTATGTCCCTTCTTTGTGTCTGAGCTTTTAGTCTCTTCTAGGGTCATGATAACAGGAAGGCATCAGTTACTGTATTCAAGTCTGAGTGAGAACTCAAAATTAAGAAAATAAACAGTACTTTTAGACTATATATATACAGGAAAACAGAAGAAACAGTGATTATATAGCTTGGAATTTATTCCTCTGTGCTTTCTGATACATATAATGATGACATAATGTTTGCTAAAAATGACCAAAGATAACAGAGATTCAGAAGCAAATGTCAGCTGAAGAGCAGATGTTAGTTGCAGCGCAGATGTTGGTGTTAGATATTTCACATTGAAATTCCAGCAAAGTGGCTTAAAATAAAAGCATATCCAGTTGTTATGGTAAGTGTGATATGTACATTCATTTTGCAGATTGCTATTTCAGGAAGATGGTCTTTGGAAAATGATGTGACTAGTGCAATTCTTTTGCTCTGGCAATCCTTTATTGCCTTTAATAACCATTAGCCACCTGTAAAGATTAGAACCAGTCTTGCTCACCTTTAGTTTATGAAAGACTCCAAAGTTCTGTGGAATAAGGAGTTTTTTCAGGGGAATCCAGATGATTTCTTAGTGGCTGAACCATGGGAGCTGTTTCAGAAGGTTTATGTTATTGTTACTTCAGGTATCTAGCATGAAGTCAGCAGCTGAGCTCAATCAGGTTGCATGAAAGCAAATGAGAATAGTTTTGATGTGATCATATAGGATACTGTATGTTTCTGTTTTCCTTGGGATAGGCAATGAAACATATATATATATATTTAGTAGGCTACTTTTCAAGTTAGATTTACATGGCATCTAATATAATTTTGCCAAGAAAGATACATATTTTGAAAAAAGATAATGTCTCAGTCATCTTACAGCAGCTACATCTGGGCTGGTAAACAATCAGAGGAAAGTCTGCCCTTACATGTGTTAAGTGGTAAAAGGCTAAGTGAAAATTTCAGCATTTACCTTTAAGAAAAATAAAAAGTGTAACTACTCTGTGCACTAAACCATTAAACCACCAGCATTAAATGATACTGCTTGTTCTTAGAACAAAGTTGTCTTGATCTTTTTATGCTCTCAGGAAGAAATTTTATCATGAGGGACCCCAGAAACTACAACAAGCACCATCAGAGTCCTGGCACTGTCTCTATTGCTCAGGCTTTTGGGAGCTTTGACCTGAGCAATATGCAGCCAAAAACTCCATCCTTGAAACAAACAGAAGTTGTGAAAACATTGCTATGCGCTGAAAGAGAAGCAGCTGTTACCAGGGAATTTAAGATGTTTTTCAGCTGTCTGAAAAACGTGATGGTGGGTGCAAGGGCTATACAAGAGATAGAAAAGGAAAAAGAAAGTAGGTGGCGTGGAATTGATTTGTCTGTGGGAGGGAAAGAGTTCTGGGGAAAAATGATGACTCTGCTGATGGGTTGGATTGATCTAAGTGACCCAATAATTAAGTTTTTCAGAGCTTGGTATGTTTGACTCTCCTGTGTCCAAATTAGAAACATTTTGTTATTTTGATATAGTTAACAACATAACTCCACATCATTTTAAGTACGCAGTTAAATGTCTCCATGAAATAATAGCATAGACAAATGTCTTATGGATTTAGGTGGCGAAATATGATACAAAAGCACTGCTGAATAATTTCATGTAATCTAATTCAAAGAGAAAAGTGGAAATGTTCCTGAAGATGCACTGATCTTTGTGGAATTGACTGAACTGTGTTTTCAGTATTCAGTATTGCATTTTTATGTTGATTGCACATTAAAACCTACCAGTAATATTCATACAACTTGAACAGTGTCTACTGCACTTTGACCTAGTATTTTTGCATCTACGACTTTTCATTACATTGCAGAGGGGTGACCCTGACTGACCACAGCACACAGTCAGAGAGGTAAACTTAAACTCCTACTGTGCCCAATGTCAGGTAACACTCTGCACTGAAGTGGGTAACAGTGCTAAGTCAGGTCTGCTGTGGGAGACAGTAAGAAGCAAATCAGAGAGGAGGTGCCTACTCAGTGTCAGCCCTTGTAAACTGAAAGTGTATCCACACTATAAAGCAATTCTTTTTGCTTCTGCAAGTTTGTACAAAGGCCCTGCAGCTATAGTGCAAAGGATTAAATAAAGCATGGAGCTGAGAATCCTTTGCAGAAAATGCTTTGTTATCCCACTGCTTTTTATTTATTTGTTTGTTTGTTTATTTAATTATTTAATTATTTAAATAGAAGCAAGTAAACTTAGTATCTTAAATGCCAGGGCAGAATTTGGAGGTAGGTGGTCTTTAAAGTTACAAAAAACAGATTGTGTAGTAGGTTGTATTCACATTTATGTATCAAAAACTCAGGTTGAACTGCCTTTGATATGAATTTAAAAGTTACATATGTTATGGCTCAGAGGAGTTATTCTCTGCTGAACTTAAGAACAGCCACACTGGTGTTTTCTCAAATATAGTTACTACTTGTAGTTCTGCTTACCAAGATGATGGTCTTGTAGCACGCATAATCCTTATCACCCTATTATCTGAGTGCTCAGTCCTGTGTGGGAACTGTTATGGCAAGAGTGTGGAGTCGTTCTGTATCAAAGGTAACTGCTAATAGACAGTGGGGATTATACAAAGTTAAAATTCATAATACCATAAACGTTTATATAATAAATCAATAAATTGGAAATGTACATAAATGTTCTTCCATATATACATTTTTGTTTATATCTACTACAACTACCCTGTTAACAGAAGGAAGAAACTACTTAACATGTAGTATAATCCTCAAAAAATAAAACCACCAGCACAGTTTCCACACCTCTAGTTTGTAGAACTCAAATCTTTTGC